GAGTTTCTAATTAAGGAGCCACACTGGTGTAACTGATGTTAACTTGTAATCAGCTGAAGGCAAAGTAACAATCCCTACAATGACAAGACAATCTGTAAAAATATTTACATTGTAGAGGAAGGGTCAAGGGGTAATTTGGCATACTTTCTTTTTTTGCAAGTGGTGTTACAGGAGTGCCAGGCATAGTCTTAACAAACTGCACACATAATTTAAAAAAAAAATAGGCTAAAATAACAAGCATGAAAAGATGAAGCTGCCCTCAGAGCTTCTCTCCCATCTCTCAACTTCAGCATAAAAGCGCCGATATTTCTTGTAGCAAAAAGAAGATCTCCATCACTGATGAACTCCCCTGCGTAACAGTCTCAATTTACTTGAGACTGCAAGGCAGTCCAGATCAGTAAATCCGAACTCAAAACTCCTTTCTGTATTTCACAGCTCTGAAAAGCTGGGATCTTCTCACAGTCCAAAAAAGAACATTTGTTTTGTTTCCAGCTATACTGGAAGAAGCAAAGATGCAATGACTTTGTCAAGAGCTGTCTTGTTTTCAAAATGGAGATAGGAATCTCAAGTACTTTAAAGCAGGACATTACACCTCATTATGCATCACCAAGTATCTTTCTGACCTTAACAGATCTTAGCACAATTCCTGAGGGAATCTGCATGTCTTCCCTTCAGCTCAGGGACTGTAAGATACCTGCTAGTACACTTAGGAAAAAGTTACATCTCTCATTAAAAACATTTATCACCTTTGAGATTTCAGGAATTCATTCATACAGGCAAATAACTATTACTGTAATATTGTTTTGTTGCGTTGGTTTTTTTTTTTTTCCAGTGAAGCTAATAAGCCACAGTATTCTTAAATAAAGTGTTTTAATTTCAGAGTTCTAATTTCCAAAGTTTTACTCCTAATAATCATAAAATCTCAAGTAGGCATTTTGTCCTGTCAAGAAATCTATAGCCAAATATAATTTACTGTGGCAGAAATTCAGACTGTGACCCAAAAGTCTTTAATCCCACTGGCAATAAAGGAATCAGAATGCAACTAATATAGGGATGGAATCATAGGCTGAAGTCTTTAGATATGCCTTATGAGAAATCACTCCTATTCTCAGGAAAGGCAAACAAATTTCAAGATGGATACATTAACATGGTGTAGCAAAATTAGTTTGGTAGGCCTACATACTTCCACAAGCCAACTTTGTTCCTTTATGGACATGCTAGACATCCTTTTAAGAACTCCATCAGAAAAGCATCAAAATAATTGGTAAGAAGTCAGTCCATAAATGATTAGTCATGTCAAAATACTCCACGTGAGTGAACAGCTCTGCAGAAGACAGATAAAGACGATTGGTAACTTCTAATACTATTTCCCATCATTAAGTTTTAAGGGAAAGTTAACCACAAACCAAAGAACATTAATCTCAGGCATCATTTTCTTTTAGTTCTTGTGCTACCTATAATGGTGCTTTGCTTAACCAAGCTAGCACAGCCCTCACAAAATCTTAATTGGTTCTTGGATTTAATCAAATTAATATTTGATACCTATGCCAGAGGATGCGATCCTGGAAAGCAAGAGCTTTCTGCTTTCAGGAAGCATATATGTCTTATGTCAAGACATAGCAGTAATAATTACTCTCAATTCAAACAAGGCTCTACTGCTAACTAGAATCGCTTGAATTTTGGCTCAGGATTCTATTTCCAGATTGATAAAACACCACTAGAGATGAGCAACACAAAGAAGTCAGTTAAAAAGCTGGGGTGCATGACTTCAGCAAGGTTGGAAGACTTCTGTTTTCTGTGAGCACACTAGAGGAAGCTGCCTGAAAAAAATTATCTGCTTTCTGCCAATGTGATCAGCGCAGCCTTAAAGAGGATCCTCCTCAGAACAGCAACCCCAGAGCTCTACCTTGAATCCCACACAGTCCTGACCTCTTAGCAACTAAGAGGTGGCTTGAGAAACTAAAACAGATTTGAGGTCTTAAAGCAGAGGTAGAGGTTCTGAACTGGGAAGAAATGGGAGAAGTGATTGTAACAGATCTTGATGGCTAGTATTTTAATTCAAGAGGAGGGAGGAAAGAGATAAGCAACCTTCTTTCCTCAATCAAGAACCAGAGAAAAGGTCTCAACAGTGGTGAGGAGTCTTCCTGGTGTGAAATAACACACTGAATGCAGAAGGCTCACGAAACAAAACTCAACGTTCATACACCTCTATGGGTAAATAAGACAGGGCTAGGAAATGAGCTCAGGCCTGGGATCTACAATTTTCACACTGCTTCTTCCTTAGAAGCCGCCCTGGCACAGGTCTGGCCCTCTTCTGAATGACGGGGTGCAGAGACTATTTCCAATGGGCAGTTTGGATGACATGATGTCAAAGGTAGTGTCCACAGACCTCCAAGGCCTTCATACCATGAAGAATTTCAAAACCTCACCCCACAGCCCAGGGGGGTCCAGTGCACACACAACCCAAAACCACACAGACATGGAGGTGCAGCCCAAAGTGAACAAATCCCCAGATCCTGTGTGACACAGTGCAGATGGGTTCAATGACAGCCCTTTCCCCTAGCATTCCAACACCAGCCCTCAACCTTGCTTTGTTTTACTATACAGACATAATCAACACTTTCCTCAAAAACGAACAAGATCAGTATCCCAATATCCCCAGCATCTGTGATATAAACCCCAGAGAAAAACTGGATTCTCGTAAACAGTGAATTAATGAAAGCCATCTCAGGAAATACTACAGTCACAGCATGAAAAAACGGAGAAAGAAAAGCAACTGAAGTATTTTCAGCTGCAGTATCCAAACAACAAAAATAAAGCAAAATTAACTAGACAAATTAAAGACAGAGCAACAACAGTCCAGATCTGTGTGCAATTCCCCACTCTACGGCAGACATCCTGCAACAACCTGGTGAAATCATCTAATGTACAACATCACAAATAAACATTGAAATCTAGAATAATAATCTACACTACTGCCAAAGAAGGTATTTCATATTCCAGCCACAAGGTAACACACACTTATGAAAGCAATCTCAGAACCATTACAAATACAACAAATTTATTCAAGAGTTTACAGCTTCTATAAAAGCAAAGCAATGCAGATAATTGAAAGAAACTGTTCAAAACTTGAAGCATCCACTGTAAGCATCACTGCAGTTCCTCAGTTCTAAGCAGTTTTTATCTTTACCATTTAGATATGACTGCAGCTTCACAGAATCACAGAATCACTAAGGTTGGAAAAGACCTATAAGATCATCCAGTCCAACCATCCACCTATCACCAATGGTTCTTGCTAAACCATATCCCTCAACACAACATCCAAACGTTCCTTCACCACATGGCTGTTGACACACATCTTCCCTCCATCTCAAGATAGAATTACTGAAGCTTAACATATCTATGCTATAGACTGTAATTTGCTTTTAAGTTTACAACTGTTAACTAATGTGAGAATCCAAAAAATAGGAGACTGCATGTCAAGTCTTCACATGCAAATCAACACTCCAATAATAAGCAACTATTTGGATAGGCTACAGCAATTCTTAATTCCTTACTATAACTCTGGTGACAGCTTTTCATTTTGATTATAAGTAGTTAAAATGCAGTAAAAAGACCACCTGGTTAGAAAGGCTTGAGTTTTCTCAGCAATACCAACCACATCTAGGCGCTGCATAACACTGGTCCATATAACCCACTTACAGGAGCAGTGAGATGAAAATAGAATAATTTACAATAATTTAAGTAACATTTAAGCAGTGATCACTGCATTTTTTTAAAGCTTACACACACACATCTATGTTTCTTTGCTTTAAGCTTTGCAGTTGTGCTCACTTTCAAGGACTACATCTTTCAAAACAAGAACTGACATAGGTTTTCTTCTTTGGTTTTACTGTAGATTTAAAGAATATCTCATACCTACTGAAGTGGTTACCACTTGGTAACTAACATTGAACTGAGCAAAGCACAGGAGGTGTGCTAGCCTCCCCCAGCCCCAGCCTTCCCTGCGCCTACACAACTAACATATTCTTCCTCCCTGGTGGGAACAGATAATTATGAACTAGAACTCTCCTGCAGATAAATTAGTAGGGCCTGAAAGAAGAATCTTCACAAAGAAGAGCAAAACTATTATTAATTAACAGTCATAGCATTCATTTTTTTATATTTATCAGTGTGAACTTTGAATAATGAAAGACACCAAGACAAAACAAAGAACAAAAACAAACCAACACAAAAACAGGCTGTGGAAAAAGAAAAGGAGAATAGTTCCAGCTCCTGAACTCTTTTAGTACACTAAGATATCATTTGCTTTTTCCTACTTAAAGTCAGAAAAACACCTGTAGATGTTGGAGAAGCAGTTTTAAGTCTCATTACAGCAAGGAAAGTGAAAACAACCAGACAAAATAAAGAAGAATTTAGTTAATGGTTAAAAGCATCATAAAACAAAAACACTATGAAAGCAATATACAGAAAAAGATAATAGACTCATGGATCAAACAAAAGAGACCATACTATGCAAGTAATTTTAGAGGTACTTCTTCGTATAAATTCTGAAAGCTATGACAAAAAATATATATCAAAAAGACTCAGAAATTAACAAGAGAGTATTAATAGCTCCTTGTAATAAAACATTTTAATTTCACAGCCGTGGAACAAAATCGGTAAATCACAAGAAGTTTAGGAAAAGACAAGTTGCATGAGAAGCAAAGGTAATGCAGAAACGCATCTTGTCAAGCAAGAAAATATAGGGAACGTACTGAAATTAACTGTCACATATGTGACAGCTAAATTTTTTCACTTAAGAGATCAGTAGTTTATAAGAATTTCCACTTTTTAGACAAGCAGAATACGCAGACTTCTCAAAAGTTTTCCTACCTCTTTTTACACCCATATGGGAATCTCAATTTTTGGAATCCTCTTTCTACTCTACAAGCACATGAGCATTGGCATTAAGTCTGAAACCAAAGATTTTTCTCCACAAGATGTTGCAGAAGCCTTACCAAATCAGCACCAGCTTGAAGCAACACATCCGCAACATCAGTATGTCCATTTTCACATGCGTAGGTCAACGCTGTATCTCCTGTTGCTGTGGTGGCATGAACATTAGCTCCTAGAAACGCAATATCATGGACATCACCTTATCAAGTATTTCAGACAAATGCAAAAATTGAGATGCTATTTATTCATGACAGCAGCTACATCCCAACAGCTTCCACAGCCCACAGGTATCACTCTTACAGTTAAAAAATTGCTCTTACAGTGAAAATATTTTGAGAAGATATGACAAGACAAGGCTTAAAACAGGCTTGACTGACAATCTAAGCACTTAAACCTTCATATGCTCACTTGCTCCTAATTCTTCCCCTACAGCACTAGAAATGTCAGTTCTACCTACAAACACTGAATCCAGATGGCTGTCCAGACTATCCATCTGACAGGTAGTTGCATGCCAAGGACAGCCACATTTAATGCTTATTCAGTGAAATACGTTTATGTTACATGATTGCATATTTCTACAAATTTCATTCCTTCCCTGCTCTTTAAAATAATTTTCTTTAAAACCATCTTAGTGAAATAATTAGATTAGTTTCACGTACTTATAAGCTATTTGAAAATTATGCACAGTTCTTCTAAAAAAGATGAATGCTATTACCCAATTTCTTATTTTCAGTGTGAGAGGTGTTTAGAAACTGATACCAAAACAAAGCTTCTCTGTTAACTTCTACACTAGAAGTGCAGTATAAGCAGAGCTTCAAGCGAGCTAGCAACTGGTATCACACTGAACAAAGAGACACAGTTGTGATTTACTGCCCTTTGGTGAGCAGTGAGCATTACTTTTTAGAATTATAAATCCAGCAAATGTTATGCATATACTTAGAAAAGAGCGATCAAATAAATTATTTGCCATTACAAGGAATATTTCCAAAATGCAGCTCCCTTTACTTTTTATTTATTGTACTTTAGCATCTACCAGCTTTAAACTGATATCATCATTATGCCCCTATAAAACTCATATAATGATAAAGAATTATAAAATCCAAATCTTAAGAAGTTTAGCACATTCCAGAAATCTTCCTTCTGTGCAATTTTACCAGAGTACAATTTCAAATGCACTGCTTATTCAGAGAGATTATTTGTATGTAGATAGTTTCGCTCAGTCAACACAGGAGTTCCATATAAAAACAGGCATTATTTATATTAAAATTTTGCCCTAAATGCTGGAAACAATTTTCCTAATGAGCACTGGTATTTCTTAGATATGCAGTATTAACCAGTATTCCATAAGGCATGTTCCTCTTAACGGTATCAGACAATATTACGGCAGAACATATCATTGAGTAGAATCATTTGAGTTGGAAGGGCCCTCAAAGGCCATCTGGTCCAACTCCTCTGCAGTGAACAGGGGCATTCACAGCTCTAAGATGCTCATCCAGCACCTGACCACAAATGTCTCCAGGGACAGAACATCCACCACATCTCTGAGCAACCTGTTCATGTGCTTCACAACTCTTACTGTAAAAACTTTTTATGTTTAATAAATATCCAATCTAAATCTCTCTTCTTCTAGTTTGAAACCATTTTGTCTTGTCCTACCACAATACACCCTACTAAGGAGTCCAAAAGGCCACACTCAGGTCTCCCAGAGCCCTCTTCTCTTTCCAGACTGAGCAGCCCCAACTCTCATCTGTCCTCACAGTGGAAATTGCATTGTTGTTTGTTCTTTTAAATATCTGAGGATAGTTTTATGTTAAAACATCACCCGCCATCGAGCCTAGGTATCTTCTAAATCATATAGAACATCTATTCCACAATGTCTGTGGGCTAAGGATTTGTACTGTACATATACCTGCTGCCAACAAGTATTTCACCAGTTCAAGATGACCTTCTTGAGCAGCTTCCATCAAAGGCGTTGAGCAACCAAGTTCTATATCAGCTCCTGCCTTAATGAGGAAGTCAGCTACTTCAGAAAAACCACCACAACACGCCAGAGTAAGAGCTGTCTCCTGCGTTTCTTCAGTCTGTGCATTTATATTTGCCCCTAGGAAATGAAACAGCTGTTATTCTAGCTGACCAGAGACATAGAAAGGTGAATGCTCATTACCTCTGCAGCTTAGGTGTTCTAGATTTACTCTACAGTTACAGCAACAAGCAATGACAACCACATACTAGGTAAGAGGAATTTGTGCACAGTACTTAACAAGGAACAGTCAATACCACATGCTCCATAATGAATGTTAAAGAAACAGTGCTCTCACCTTGTGCCAGTAACAACGCCACCATCTCCTCATGGCCTTCACGTGCAGCTTCCATTAAAGGAGTATAGCCTTCATCATTCACTTCCTCCAGGTTAGCTCCCCTTTCTATAAGAAGAGCTGCTAACTCCACATGTCCACCACAAGCAGCCAGGGTGAGGGGAGATTCAAATGAATCCGCAGGCATATTCACTTGAGCACCACTGTCTAAAAGTAAGCGTGCTACTTCCACATGTCCATCCTACAAAACAGAGATGAAAATCAGAAACTATCAAAGCCATTTAATACAGTAATTGTAACTGCCATTGCATTAGGTCTGAAAATGATTTCAAAGAGTCTTATTTATGATGGTTCAGTTTATGACAACTATTATAACATCTGGATTAAACTGATAGTTAGATTTTCACCTACATTTATTTTACACTTAAATGGACAACAAAAGAGAGCTAGATTTTTCTCCTCTTTTTTTCTTGGAAAGAGATGAGGAAAAGTTGTGAGGTAAGACATTCTTAAATACCCAGAAAAATACCCGTGGCACAGAAGTAATGTAGATAACAAACAAGTTCCACAAACAAACCTACTGCACGACTAAACCTCAAGACAAGCAGTGGGAAAAAAAAAAAAGATTTTTCTCATTATAGTTGTTTCATAGTTTTTATAGACAAAAAAAACTCTCCAATTGGCAGTTTCTGTATCCTGGAAATATACCTGCAGAAGAACTGAAGTGGGTTACTACTAGGTGGTTAAAAAGGAGCAGGAAAGGCTCCTTAAAGGATAGAGAAAAGTACCCTGCAGTGAACTGATCTTTGCCACAGAACAAAGACAATTAGGACTGCTATATCAGTCTGTTTGAGAATTACCAATCAAAATATATAAACATAGCTGTTAGCTTCTCAAAAAACTTATTAAACTTCTCAAAGCTCCTTGGAAGAGCCTAAACATCAAAAATTTATGTTTTAAAGGTAAAAAGCCACAATACTTTTGAGAATCGGCAAATGCAAATAAGTTTTGGCATCTGGAAACAAGAAACATCCTCATGGCTTTTTCCTCTCACATTATTTTTTGAAACAGGACCCAAACTTTTGGAACACTGAGTAAAGAAACTGGTAAACTGAAACTGATTATGAACTATGCTGATAAAAGACCCAAGTAATGAAAACAGTGCTCAGTGAGATACAGGAGTCCTCTGAATAGACCCTAGGAACATTTCAGACTAGATCTTTCCTGAGCATAAACAGAATAAGTTAAGGACAAAAAATGGAACTTCAAAGTGAGAAACTGGAATTGAGGCATGCTGTTTGTGTATCTCAGAGATACTTGCTGCCTTGCAGATGCATAGGTAATAGGTGCATCAACCTTGATCACTCTATTTACCATCCAAAGAAATGAGATTCTTCTGGAAAGAAAAAAAAAAATTGTCAGACAGATCTGATGATTTCACAATGCTCGCAAATCTGTGTCCTGACACAGTGGTTCTCATGGAATTTGGCCTCAAACCAGGATTATTTCTTCAACTAACCCCCAACACCTGCTGACAGGTTTTCCTACAAAAGTAAGAAAATACTTCCAATGAAAATTAAGAAAAGGGCTAATTTCAGTGGTAAAAAGTATATGTATATATATCACTTTCTTGGAAGAAAAGTTGGACAACATTAAAGGGCAAAAAAGATCTTAGAATACATCTCTGCCCAAAGTTAAACACCTTGGCAGAACTGTGAAGTGGAATTCTTACTCATAAATACTCCCACTACTCAAAACTAAGGAACTTATCCATTAAAAACAGTAACCTCAGGTAAACTACTACTTCCCCATTCTGATCACATCAGAATTGCCAGTCAGTAACTCAAACCACTAAGACAGTGATAAAAAAAAGGGGAAAGATAGATATCAAACAGAACAACTCCTGACAGTGCTTGCCTTTATTAAGTCAACCATGAAGCAGGTAGTACGTAACATGGGATTAACAGCAACCAAGTCTGTCAACTAAGGATAAGCTGCTGTTCTTGGAGAAGCTGTCCAAAAGCCAGCCACAAACCCTTCTAACTAAAGATATTACCTTAGGTGTAGCATGCCAATTGTATAAGAACATAGTATCCTAACTCAGAGTCACTTACAATATAACTGTTGAACAAAAAAAAGACACTTCAGTTTCCTGTATTTCTTTACAGAACACACCGCTTAAAAAAAAACTGTGAAGACTGGCATAAATCACAGCAATTTGCCAGAATGGTTCCCATCTCTACGAATATAGCTATAAGACAACAATAAGGAAAAAACTTCATCACTAAGACTTGGAATCAGGACTTCAAAGGGTCAGTTCACTCCCTATTGCTTTTAAGGTTAAATACACATACTGTGATGCAAACTGGTTTGAAACACTCAAAAATTACAATATGTAGGCCATCCACACAGCTTATCTTGCGAGAGAGACTATTCAGAGCCTTCAAGACAACCCACTGCTTAGACTATCAATATGAAAGCAAAGAAGTGATCGTCTAAATGCTGCAATCTCCTTTAGGTGACACCATATACCCAGTGCACTATCAGCAGAAGGCTTCAACATAAGACATTATAAGCTGACCTTGGTCACTGGCCTCATCATCTCACAGCTGCAGTAGAACTGAGAGCAGTAGGATCAGTTGAAGACCACTGGAATACCGCACTTTCCTCTAAAGGTTGTAGGCTACTGAAAAGCCTACTGAAAGAAAACTTCTTTCCTCCACTCTCTATGCTACCTATGAAAACAAAGAACTAAGAACTGATTTTCTCCTATTTTCTTTAATTTGCAAAGGAAAAACTCACAGTACCAGTTACAGAAGCCTAGAACAAACTGTGTCTACACAACACACTTGTTTCCTGTACTGTTGAAACAATAAATGCAATGCATTAGTCATTCAGTTATATGCACTTCTGGAAGGCATATACCATGATGATCTCTGAAGTCTAATTTATAAAGACAAAGACAGGAAACTAGCTCTTTTACACTGTAAAAGACACAGTAACTTGGGCTCAACCAAATACCCCATGGCATTGCAAACTACTTATCCCTACACTTCACATAAGGAGCATTTGAGGGTGACAGAGCCCTGGGACAGGCTGCCCAGACATGCGGTCAAAACTTCTTCTCTGGAGATATTCAGAGACCAGACCAGATGCTTCCCTGTGCAATCTTCTCTAGGGAACCTGCTTTAGCAAGGGGTTGGTCAGGAGATGATCTCCAGTGATCCCTTCAAGTCCCCATGTTTCTACGACTCCGTGTTCTACAGCAAGAACTGAAACACTCACTTGCAGACCTAAACTGGATTGTTATCAAAAGCTCATTTCATTTATTTTATCATCTCCTCTATTTCTCTCTCACTGAAGGAGCAGCAGTACAGATAAAGGCTATTTACCATGCAGGCCTCCATTAACGCTGTGTGCATCTCATCTGTTTTATGTTCTTGATCAGCTCCGGCTTCAAGCAAAAAACGAACCATATCTAAATGGCCTTCAAATGAAACAGAAAAATAAGTAAACATTTAACTGCAAAAGCCTTTAGTACTACAGACAACATGTTAATGAAATAATTTAGATTCTCATAGTTTACTATTAGAAGTTACAAGTCATAAGCCTATTCTAAGTCTTCTTAGAAGAGTAACGGAGAACGGTCAGCCATAAGAATTTTCAATATCTTTTTCAATGACATTAACTATGAAATTAAAATAGACCTCTAATTTATACAATAGAAACATTTCCTTGTGACTTCAAGTCACAGAAGACTGCGTAGATCCTTATTCAACAGAACACAAACATATCATTTAAGTGTTCCAAAGCAGCACAAGTTTTGAGAGGGGAGCTACCTATCTTCAAAAATAGGCCCATGTAGATCGGACCTTCAAGCTTTTTATTCATAGCTCTTGGGAATATTTCTGAGAATTTGAGGAACACAGTATGATATAACGTGCATATATGTGACACTATTTTAAAAAAATTTCTACTGAACTGTAGCAAAACTTCTACTGAACTGTAGCAAAACTTCTACTGAACTGTAGCAAAACTTCTACTGAACTGTAGCAAAACTTCTACTGAACTGTAGCAAAACTTCTACTGAACTGTAGCAAAAAATCTGTTATGGCTTTTGCTGTCCTAGAATGCGTCCCTTACAAATTATACATTTTATCTTATCCTTCAAAACCAGATTTCGCTTTACACAAATTCATAGGAAAACAATGCAGCTTAATTATCTTGCCAAAGATGACACAGGGAATCCACAGTCAATGAAGATATTGCATTACGTTACACCTATTACGTTTACAATGAAAGAAACAGGAAAATTCCTTCAAACATATCCAAAAATGCTATTACTGAAAATTCTCGTAATGAACTACTAGTGCATGCTGCAGGATATCCATGATAGAATCAGATCCAAGCCTTCTGGTGGATTAAAATTAACTTGTATCCTCCAATTCTAACTGCAGAGGCAAAATGTAAATTACTTTGACAATAACCTGCATGCTTACAGTTTCTATTAAGGGAAAACAATTGATGAAAATGTTATGGTTTTCAGTTTGCTTTCCTTTGAAAGAAAATAATTTGGTTGGTAGTCCATTTGATTACTGTGGCACTAAGTTATTTTATGTAAAAACTTTGAACTGCAAAAGAAATTAAGTCCACAAGAAGTCATAATACACAATTCGAAAACATCCTCCAAAATTACTGCAGAAAGAGTATTCAGTAATACCATCAGCATTTTACTCCCACCAGTTATTAGAGAACGTCCAATCCAACAATAATTTCCTAACAACTAATAGAGATGTTTTCAAAACTTGCAGGTAGTTGGCGAGGAGAATCTGAATGAAATGGTGAATACAGTAGTGGAGGGAAAGAAAGTGGTGCTGCGTCAAAGCGCAAGTTTGGACATAGCCATTCACAAGATTTCAGCTCCAGCATGCCGCATATGTCCACCACGTTTGAATACAAGCAGACCACTAAACCAAGGAAGAATGCCTCCTGACATCAATTTTAAACAGTTGAGAAAGTACTGGATCAAAAGTTCAGTTGGAAGTTTTAGCTAGGTAAAGCCCACAAATAAATTTCGTCAACAAAAACACAAAACAACATACGAGACAATACCTTTGTAGCATGCAAGTGTAAGTGCACTTTCTTTGAACTCGTTGGAATGAGTATTGATTCCTGCACCATATTCCAGCAATACTCTTGCAACCTCAACATGACCTGCACTGGCTGCTTCCATTAAGGGGGTATGCCCATTCTCATTATGGTCTTCTATATTAGCACCTGCTTTCAATAGCACCTTCACTATGTCAACAAAGCCCCCAGCACAAGCATAAGTGAGCGCTGTGTTCCCTGCAGAGAAGAAGAAGTTACATGTAAGTCCTCTCCATTTCCCACTCCTAATACATAAAATTAAGTTAGTTTTAAAAACCCTGAAAAAACAAGTACACCACCAGGGGCAGCCTGTTATGTCACAGTAAAGTTATTTCAGCCAGTATAATCAACACAGTTATGAGAGTTTTAACACGTAATTTTCAAAATAAGCATTTTTTGTCTTTGATTGTCAAGTTTCCTACTTCGACACATAAAAAGAGAAAATTAATCACTGATCTTTTTCTCTGAGTTTTTGGGTTTTTTTTTTTTTTTTTTTTTTTTTTAGGTTTGTTTTGTTTTGCTAGGGTTTTGCTCTGCTTTTTGTTGGTGTGGTGCCTTGGTTTTTTTGTTTGCTTGTTTTAAAATGACACCCAGCAATCCTTTAAAAAGCTTCTATTGGTTGGGTAAGAATAAACTATCACAATTTAAAACTCTGATTCTGAAAATGTTGGCTCACATTTTAAATTTTACTGTCAATTCTAAGACAAATTCCACTTAATACAACTAGATATCAAGAAAAAAATGAATGTTACCTACTTAAAAAAAAATTAATTCCATTTTAGAAAAATAAAAATGCAGGTTAATACTCTCAGCAAGGTTAGTCAGGTTGTGGTCAAGCATCAGCAATGTGGATAACACTCAATGCTTAAAGAACTGTTCTACTTTGGTAAAATGCAACAGACCAAAATAACTGATCAGGTATATCCAGTAAGAAGACAACTCTGGATTGTACAAATGAGAAAAGCTGAACTTGGTGCATCTTTCTGGTCATCTAATACCACAGTAGACTTCTAGGAAACAGTGCTTTCCATTACAGTTAAAGTTGAAAGCCATCATTAGAGCTTCATCTGGCCATTATTAACCGTGTCCAGTACGTATCTAGTCTATTCTTAGTCATTCCTGTTGTGTGTACTTTAAGTTAAAATACCAGCAAAAAACACATTCTGAACAGAAACACTTGGCTTATGCTCTAGTTTTGTTCATTTTTTCAGTTTCTGTTACCTGTTGAAGACTGAGCATTGACATCTGCACAATGAACAAGGAGAAGTTTAACAATATCTACATAGCCTCCACTGGCAGCTGCCATTAAGGGAGTTATGTCTCCTTTATTTCCTCGATCTTCAACATTTGCATGCATTGCTAGTAGCACCTAAAGAAAAAAAGTTCACTATTAGAATGAATAAATTCTAGCACTGACATTTTGATTCTCGTTCAGTGGAGTTTGACATTGATTCCCCAGTCAGTCGTGACATCCCCTTACATTAAAATACCCACAGCAGTGAAACACAACGGTACTCTTCAGGACCACGTGTAATTACCCAACTGTACTATGCTCTGCTTAAGGTAACACTATTTTTCTACATTTATTCATATCTTTAAAATAAACATTAAGTTCAGTACAGTACTGACATTTTCAAATGTCATAGAGCAATGCACTAACCGAAATGACAGCAGATATACTGTAAGTTTGCATGAATGACTACAGCCCACATTAGGTCAAGCTTACAGGTAAACAGCTCTCCCCCACACAGCTGTCAGCACAATAAACGTGAAGCTGGTCACTTTCTGAGAATCGTCACTTCAAAAGGACAAATTCTGCTCTTGAATACACATGTATAAAAGCCAGATATTAACCCAAACTAATTCAATGCTGAGGGCGTTTTATATTAAAAAGACAATATCTGTATGCTCACATTAAGCAGTATTAACTACTACTCTTTTGGGATTATAAAAACTATTTCAATCATGATAATTAAGGAGTTCAGGTATCGAAGAAACTCCTTTAACAATGTTTCACAAAGGTTTAGTTGTGACTGTATTTGTTACTTACTTGTGCCAATTCATAATATCCAGCTGAACAGGCCAAGCAAAGGAGACTTTCCCCTTCTTCAGTATGTTCGTTTACATTTCTTCCTTCATCCAGCAGCTTCCGGACAGCATTTACATCCCCATCCGAGCATGCTTCTGCCAAACTGCGACTGGAAAATCATTTACCACAGAATAAGCATGAAAAAGAATTGCAATAAGGGTTAGTTTTCTTATGCACAGAAGAAGTCCTAAGAGCTCAAGACATCGTCCTAGAAAATATAGTTTGCAGTTGCTTTTTTAAGAGAAAAGTTCACATAGACATTATATTCATTGGTAAAATGGAAATAAAGACCCTCCTCATGTTCACATTTGCTAACTCATTCAAGCTACATAAAGAGAAGAGTGCTCAAAACTAGGTAATGTGCAGTGTGTGCAAAACACAGAGGTAAACACTCACTGATGTTTTATTCACTCTACGGTGGAATGCCAGATAGACAGAGGCTATGACTGTGGCAAACCATGGGTACAGAGGGAAATTTCTAGCAGAGAGAAAGCCAAAAGTGAATACTCCACAGTAACCACTAATGCTCAATACTGCAATAAGCCAGACTTCCTTACCATTGTCTCTCCTATAGTAGGATTACCTCCTTCCCTGCACTAGCCCAAGCCTTTTTCTTCTAAGGAAACAAATTGATTTCTTCTCTTTAAGTAATTTTCAAACAAAGAAAAATCCTTACCTCACCTAATGACATCTTAGAGGAATTTAAAAAAAAAAAATCCTAAAAACTAACATATTCAAATGCATTAAATACCTTAAACTTCTACTTTTCTTCTGTAAAAGAGACAATCATCCATGAAACTTACTTGCAAAGAAGAATATATCCATTTTACCACAAGGCTTCCTCAGGAAAGCACATTAGTTACAATTTTTCAGAGACAAATAATTAAACGAATAATTAAAGCCTTATTTGAAAACATGAAAAGGAATTCATTTGCAAGGCACTCAAAAATGAACTACACTGTGCTTGCTAGTAACCGACAGACAAGCTGAGATCTGACTGCAGAAAATACCCAGCACCTGGATCACTTCTATTTGCAGTATAACAACTTCAGTATTTTGACAAAAATAATTGAAAACTAAGTCTACATGAAAAATACTTTGAATTACTGATCTGAGATTTTAAGTTCAGCTGTACACGCAATCACTATCTTAGCAGTTTAGGAACAACTTCTATCCCTTTGTCAGAGTAGAAAATACTCCAGGACCCCTAACAGTGCTTTGAAATTACCAATGAAGAAGAAAAAGAGGAAAGCTTTGAGATACCTAGGACAAATTCTCTTTTCTGCAGTCATGGGAACTGAATGCTGTCCTCATTAATTACTGCCTCTGAAGAGTTAACAAGTATACAGCTTCTTTTTTCCCCCAAGTTCCTTGAGCAAAATTCCTGGGCAAACTGCTATCCTTTAAGCGTTTTTACTAAAAGCTGGAAGATAATATTATGAACTAGATTCCTTAGTTTCCAGCAAAAAATAAAGCAGTAAGCAGAGAACTATCAATAGCTCTTCTACATGGATAAGTTTAACCAGTTTTTCAAAAAAAAAAAAAAAAGAATTTGACCACCTAGCACACAGGAAGAGCAGCACATCCTCTAATCAACCAAATAAGACTTGACATACACTTCTAAAGCTAAAAACCTGATATGGCAGTAGTTAAACCTTCAGTTTATCTGCTAGTACAGCATATACGTTACTGAGGACTAATTGTAAAAACTGGATTTGAAATGAGAAATATCAACTTACATTCTAGCATTCAGAAACCCAGAAGAGATCAATACATACTTGTCCACCTGCCCTGCATTGTGATTGTTCTCTGCCCTCATCCGCGTCAATGCAGCAGCAGCTTCATCCAGTGCACAGCTGACAGAGGACGTCAGTCTTCGGAGAACTTCAGGATCTGCGAAGGCTTTACCATCGGCAGTGGACAATTTACCAATTCCTTCAGTGCACGTTCGTTCAGTGAGGTTAGTATGAAAGTCACACAAAAAAAATGCAAAGACACTATTTTAGATTTCAGCCACATGCACTATTAGTTAAAAGTCATTTGCAAACATGCCAGAAAATTAGCTATGTAAGACTAGCAGTTAACACTTGTCTACTACCTGAACATTTTTAACTGTAATAAGGTAGCAATAAAACTATTTTCAACTGGCAGTTTAAACACCCACCGAAAACTCTTAACTCATACCTTTGAAGAGTAAAACAAATTAAAATCTCTAAGGGGACTAAAGACAAGCCCAGGGGTCAAACCCCCGCACAAGTTTGGAAAGCAGGCATTATTCCACAGTCTTGGTTTTAGGTTATCTACACATGAAGATTCTTCTACTCTGCACATGCATCTCCACTGAAAATGAATTGGACTTGCTTCCAACACATTATTTCTAAGAGCAAGAAAAAAAATATGTATGTATAAATTAGCTTGAATTCCTACTAATTCAGTATTCTTAACTGCACACCTCCAGATACAAATATGAAATAAAATTTCCAATTTTTTAAGCATACTTGAAAAATAATGTCACATCTATGCTACCAACATACAGAGTATAAACACAGACTTAGTGAACTTCGGTAACAAGTCATTTGTTTTAGACATTTTCTTGGCTACTAGACTAAATCTGAAGGGTAATACAGAATATCAATCACCATAAGCAGCTATTTATCTCATTCATTTGCATGGCTGATATATAAAGTTACTGTACAGCTGCACAGTTTATTCCACACAGGTTTTATTACATATAGTCCCTCACAGACTGGAACACCGTGAAGAACTGAAGCTCAGTTCATTTTATCATTTAAACACCTCTGCAATTGCCACTGCAGCACATGCAGAGCCCAGATTTGCCTACACTAATGTGAAAACAGCAATAAGAAAAAAGCAGAGGTATAGTACAAAAAACATTTTCATGCGATAGAGAAAGAAAACAGTTACTGGTTTATAAATTAGCTACCTTCACCTGTGATGAATCAGTAACTTTTCAATTCTTTAGTGGTTAAACAGAATCCGGGGGAAAAAATGCATCTTACATCTCTGAAGATTTGCAATTTGGGATGTGCATGACTGATTTACACCATGTTTTGCACAAGCCAGCTTGCAACTATTACAGTATAAATACTGAAATCACACTTTGAAAGTTTTGAACACTGTCTCCAGATGATGTGTTTCCCCAGTCTGAAAGCATTCAATAATTCTTCAAGCAATCCAAGAACCAAGACTTGGCAAACTTTGGCACCCTGAAAACAACTTGTAACAGCACAGGAGACACTCTGTCACATAACCCACATCACTGTTAAAGAGCTGCTAAGTGTTGGCTTAGGGCATTCTCACTCCAGGTTGCTGGAATAGCCAAGAACCCCTCCCCTGCCAGCATGAAAGATACCACAAAGGTGCAACAATTATACCAACATGATGAAATTTGCACTGGTGGCACCATGCATGCATCTGCTTACACCATACTACCCAAGGAAAGGAAGGGAATTACTAACTCACAGCCCAGCACCAACAGCATATCTAGGACTATTATAAACAAATAACTAGGACTGCCTCATTGAGCAAAATGAAAGTGGAAGGGGAGAAATCCACAGGATTTAGAGAAATGATCCCCAAACAAAGGCTTCAAGGAGTACGTTTGCATTCAAGTTTGCACAACAGTTTTCTTCTACTTTGAAGGCTTTCATAAAGGGAACTGAACACTTCTGCTGGCAGCAAAAGACCTGAGAAAAAAGAACTCCAGTAAAAAAAAGTTCCCTAGATATCTGAAACTGAACTGGACAGACAAACCATTCCAGTAGTCTGGCTATCTCGACAGAATTAACCTCTCTGCATCAAGCAGGAAAAGGATGAAACTTGCTCCGGAAATATACATCCAGGTGATCCTAGTGCAAAGGACTGACTGCCTTGATCTTGTAGGCTAACCGCACTTGTCTTTGATCTACTTACTGCCTACGAGGAGAAGCTGCTGGATCTAATCAGGATGAGATACAGACAAGCATAACCTCTGCTTGGCTATTGTCTCCATGATGCATTCATGCAGAGGATTTCTGAAACTAAGAGAAACACATCACAGCACAGATCTAAGTCCACAGCACAGATCTAAGTCTCATGTCCTATGAAGACAAATGGAACTCAAACAACTGCCCCAAGGTATTGTTTGCACGGGTGACAATCAGTGGAATCCCAGAGGAGCCACAAACTCACAGACCAGTGGGCTGCTTCCTCCAGCTGCTTTACACACAGACAGCTCACTTCACACTTTCCCACTTTGCTCCAAAAAACAGTGATATAATCACACCAAGGACTTTCAGAGTGTAAGCTGAAGAAGCCATTTATTCACATCACCAGCTAGGGCTCAAAAACCCAACTGACTGTTCTTTGTGCTGATACCTTTTTTCTTTTCCTTTTTTTTTTTTTTGCATACCAAAAAGTTCACATGAACATCAGCCCACAAATCAGCCATCATCACGGCACAAGAACTTGACCACTTTTTTATACATGCTAAAGCTAGTCAACAGCTACTCAAGACACCAGAGCAGGTGTTAGACTAGACTCAGACACCCATTCATTTACTTCCCTTTTACAGGTTTATAGTACCATCTAAATAATTGCTCAGGTTTTATTATACTGTGATTTAGGATGACTATGCTGTAATGCTCAGTCATCTGATCTCCAATTTGTTTGCTTTTGAGTCCACTTAATAGCTATTTGTTCTTGTGTCATTCACCCAGGTGTTTAAAACATCTCATGCAATAATCAGATTTTCTAGGCTCCTCCCATCCATTGAAAACTAAAAGCATTCTCCAGAAGATTCTCCACATTTGTGATCATTTATGTGCAAGACTAACTCAACTTCTCACGTTATTAAAGTCTCACTAGCACTCTACTGAGTCATAAAATTGATAAGGACTCTATGAAAATGGCTAAACCAAAACCTACAGTGTTTGACATTCACAGCTTTCTGCAGCACAACAGCACATATTCAAGACTTCCAACCATCAGAGATGGTTGTATAACACCTTATTATTTTTCCCTCTGTTAACTGCCTTATTTTCATGCCTTATATTTTCAGAGTTCGCTGAAAGATAACATTCTTCTCCTTCAATGCAAGTCTCTCCTGTCCCCAAAGTCTTTCTAAGATCAAATCAAGTGAATAAATATTTAAACCACACCCGAAAGTCATGATAGCTCAAAAGTCACACATCATTAAGATCCTAGTCTCTAGAAGAGATAAATGTCTCTGAGGTATAGAATCTTCCATTCACTATTTGTTCCCCTCTTGCAAGCTCTAGATTTGGGAGAAACTCCAAACAGAAGAGACTTCAGCAAGAAACCATTCTCATTTCCTCACAGCAAAATTTCTCATTTAGAAGCCATTTTTTCATATGGAAACTAGATATAAGACTTATGCTTAAGCATAAGTTTTCCCAACATCTTCCTGAGATGATGAGAGAAGTTCAGCACTTTTGCTTGAAACCAATCATGTGGCAAGGTAAATGCATCGTTCTGACATGACATTGTGGATGAGCAGAACACCACTAGCATACTCAGTAAACCTCAATTAAGAAATCAACTAAGACATACTAAGCTTTTATGGTCTCATGGGATTCCTGCAATCAAAACAGATAAGCAAAAAAAAAGACTGATTTTTATCTGATCACCCTACATGCACAGCCAAAGAGAACATCTCAATTGTAACCACAGACATTTTTATTACCTAACAGTCAAATATTTAGACCGCAGCTAACAAACTCATAGAAGCTTTACACTGCTCCCAGCTCCTTCCCAAAAAATGTCCCTGAAAAATACTTGTGTTTCTCAGAATTTTCTTATTTAAGACACTTTCCTGCAGGTAAGGTTTCAACATTTTTCTGCTCAGAGTTGTCTGCCAGAATAACAAGTTGAATGTGAACTCCAAGGTCAATGTGGCTACTAAGCGGCCTAGCAAACACCAGAAGCCATGAGAGAAAACTACGTAGCTAGAAACTGAAGGAGGACTCCTGCTTGATGGTGACAGCAAATAGCTACTAGGTCACCTCAGCTACCATCATTCTGCAAAGGTCATTCAGAATGTCCAAATAGGTAGGTTTCCTTCTATTATTTTTTTTTTTACCTTTGTAAAAAGAAATACAACTTTTTCATCTTTCAAGGCTTTCCTCGTTTTAGCCCTATCAAAGAAACATTAATTCAAGTATGAGGTGACAAGCTACCAGATACAATTGTTGATGCTTCTGATTCATTATGGGAACCCAGACATCCAGACGTGCTCACCGCAGATCTGCATGTGCATAAAATCATACTGATCAAGCAACCAAATGCACTTGCTTCCTATTCATGTAGTTAATACAGAAGCATCACATGCTATTTCTACATTACTCAGAGATCTACTTTATAAACCATTTTCTGTACTCACCAGATGCAAAATTTACACCTGAATATTTTACAGACAGATGCTCATACAGAAAACAGTTTTCTCTGACATCTGTTAGTAAGCCTTGCTATTTACAAACTGCATCCTCTTCTCCAGAAGGTTTTTTCCCCCCACAGCTGGAGCCCTGCTACATGTGTTCTCGCAAAGCATCACAAGTCCTTCAGCACTGCTGAAGCAAATAACACAACATGCAACTGCACAGGAGCTACAGATGCTGCTTTGGCAATACAGAGGTGGATGCTCCAGCAGTAAGCACAGAAGGCAGAAATGTCTCTCAGAACAAATGGCTTTCACCCATCTCACTGTACATAAGTGCCTGGGACAGGTATCCACCCTCAGATCACCTCTTTTTCAGAGAAGCAACTACTATTAGGAGAAAAGTAATAACACAGTAAGTTTGCCTCCCCAACTAAACAGTAGTTCAATGACCAAATTGCTTTAAGGAAAGCAAACCAACACAGAGCCTGAAGAATTGCATTTAAGTATCAGAAAGCAATTATATTTCTTCTAGCAAATA